ACCAGGGCTGGGGGGCCAGGGCCATCCACTTCTGGGGTTTGGCCAGCCCCACATGTGCTGCCCTCGGCACTGGGGTTCAGCTGGCCCTGCCCCAGGGGACCCCATGCGGCCGGAGCTCTGGGGCTGCTGCCCGTGGTTCCCCATCTCTGTGACACGCCCAGCACCCAGGTGTCCCCTGGCTGAGCCAGGTGCCAACCCGGCCGTGCAGGTTGGTGCCACAGCCCTGGCACGATTCTGGCCCCCGCTCCCTGCACGGGAATTGGCAGCAAAGGGCCCCGGGGCTCCCCCAGGCTGGGGAGAGGAGCTCCCCCTTCCCTGCCCCACGCAGGAGGCCCCAGTGCAACCCGTCCTCTCCTTCCTGCCTCCCCTCTCCCGCACCCCAGGCCCGCTCCCGGGGGCGCTCTCTGTCCCATGCTCCCATGAGGCTCTGGCCCTTTCCCTTGGGCAGTAGCCGGTTTACATGGCTGGCTGCATTTGGTGATTTCCAGCCCACGGTGGGAACTGGGGAGTCCCCGTGGAGTCAGGCCGGGTGGGCTCAGGAAGGAGGGGGGTGTCTGCGCTAGCCGCTGGGGGCTGGTGGGGCCGCGCTGGGCTCTGATGGCCGCCTCTGGGTTATCATGTAGGTACATGTTCCAGGGGGGCACCAACTTCGGCTACTGGAGCGGTGAGTCGTCGTCCCCCTGCCCGTGGGGAGCAGAGGACCCATGGAGGGCACAGGGCTGGCGGGTGCTGCCTGGCGGGTCCCTGCAGGGCTGTGGTACCTGGGCATTCGCCCATCCTACTGGGGCCTGGTCTAGCTAGCCCCTTCTCTGCCCATCCCCGGGGTGCTCTCTGCTGTCAGCAGTGCTGCACGGGGGCTCCTGTGGCCCATGCCAGCACCGGCCCCCATCCTCCACGAACGCGCCAGGCCACGGTCCGTGTGGTTTCCGTGTCGCAGGCCAGGCCCCGTTCCCACGGAGCTCCCAGCAGCCCCTGGCCCTTGCCCCCATCTCCCTCGGCTTGCCAGACTGCAGGCCCCGAGCCAGTGGGGGGCATGGCAGGGCCCAGGAAGGGGCACGGCAGGGCCCAGCCGTGGCTCACTCCGCCTGCCTTGGCCAGGTGCCGACTACAAGGGCCGCTACAAGCCAGTCACCACCAGCTACGACTACGACGCGCCGCTCTCGGAGGCAGGCGACCCCACCGCGAAGCTGTTTGCCATCCGGACGGTCATCAGCAAGGTACTGAGCCCAGCGGGCCGGGGGGGAACCACCCTCGCCATCGCCTGGCACCTCGCGGAGCCCCGGGCAGAGCGCAGAGCCGGCGCTGCTGCCTGTGTCAGGGGCAAGGCTCTGTCCTGCCAGCCCCAGCCGTGCCAGCACCGTAATGCCCTGCTCGCTGCAGGGACAGCAGGGGCGAGGGCGGCTCTGCCCTGGCAGGGCAGAGGGAGTGGGGTGCCCCCTGGCGGGTGCCCTGGGTTAATGACTCTGAGCCCAAAGAGCTGGGGTGCCAGGCACGGCTCCGGCTCTGGCCCCCTGCCCCCCTTCCATGGCATCTGCAGCGGGGGCCATGCCCCTGACCCAGCCTGGCCGGCTCCTAACGGGGGTTTGCTGTTCAGTTCCAGCCCCTGCCTGAGGGTCCGATGCCGCCCGCCACCCCCAAGTACGCCTACGGCCCCGTGCCCCTGCGGAAGGTGAGTGGCTGCCCTGGGAGCTGCCCCCCTGCCCCGGGAGGCCCCCACCCACCCTGCCCCTCTCCTCTCTTGCAGCAGGGCGAGGTGCTGGAGCTGCTGGACGTGCTGTGCCCCGGCGGGCCCATCCGGAGCCGGTTCCCTCTCACCTTCGAGGCCGTGAAACAGGTGAGGGGCGGGGTGGGCACAGGGTCCTGGCGCCAGGCTCCTCGGAAGGAAGGAGCTGGGCCTGCTGCAGACGGGAGGCCCTGGAGAGGGTTTCCCATGGGCAGCCCCTCGGCCCCCTGCGCACACGGGGCTCTCACCCTCCGCTCTGCTGCAGGCTCATGGCTTCGTCCTGTACCGGACGCGCCTGCCCCGGGACGTCTGGGATCCAGCCCCTCTGAGCTCCCCTCCCAACGGCGTCTGCGACCGCGCCTACGTGCTGCTCAATGGGGTGCGTACCGTCCTGCTCCTGGGCCCCGGGGGGCAATGCCCAGCCCCTCTCTGTGCAGCGGGGGGGTTAGTGCCCGTGGGGCGGAGGGGCTGGCAGTGCTGGAGGCAGCCTGGGGTGGGGGCTGTGCCACCCTGCACTTGGCCCCCGGAGCCTGTTGGCCTTTGCCCTGGTCCCATCTCCGCTATGGGGTGGATCTGTCGGGGGGGGGGTTGCTTTCGCGTTCACCCCACAGGGTATCCACATGGGAGGGAGACCTGGGAGCTGGGGAGAGTCTGTCTGGTCGCTCACCTGTCCCGGTGTGTGCAGGGAGTGGGGGGGGGGGGCCCAGACCGGCCCTGGAAGGCTGGCACCGAGGGGCTTTGGGGGAGGGGAGGCTGGTGCTGACCCAATTCCCCATGCCTGCCTGGCGCCAGGAGTACCAGGGGAGGCTGGAGCGCGACGGGCAGATGACACTGAACATCACAGGCCAGGCTGGCGCCACATTGGACCTGCTGGTGGAGAACATGGGCAGGATCAACTTTGGTGTGAACGCCAGCGACTTCAAGGTGAGGGGCGGGACGGGAGGTGGGCGCGCTGCTGCCAGGTGCCCCCTGAGCTGGGCATCCTCAGTGCCTGCCGCCCCTGCAGAACTAGGGAAGGGCTGGGCAGGGATGGGGCAGCAGCTGGTGGAGCCAGGCATGGAGCAGGGCTGGGCAGCCTCCCCAGGTGGCAGCCCCTCCTGGCATGGCCCTGCGCTGCCTCTGGACGCCGGGGAGCGGGGTTCACCCTGTGCGGGGAGCAGTGGGGATGGGGCAGCCAAGGGGAGAAGGGGGGCAAGCCCACGGGCAGGGCCGTCCGCTTCCTCCCCACTGGTCTCCTGTCCCCGTGTTCGCAGGGCCTGCGCCAGAATCTCTCCCTGGACTCGGCACTGCTCAGCGACTGGCTGATTTACCCCCTGGACGTGGACTCGGCTGTGACGCGGGGCTGGCCCCCGCCCACCCCCCAGGCTGAGGGGAGCAGGGCCAGGCTGGGGCCGGTTCTCTACACTGGGGCCTTCCAGACCCCTGGCATCGCCTGGGACACCTTCGTGAAGTTCCCCGGCTGGAGCAAGGTACCGCTGAGGGCAGGGGGGGCTGGCTGGGGCCTGGCTTGGTGGGCAGTTCTCCCACTGCGACGTCACAGCCGCTCGCTCCCCACGGCCGCGCGGGGGGAGAGGGGGGAAGAGATCGGGGGAGAGGGCACCGGGCAGGTGTTTGGGGTGGAGGCAGCGGGCAGGGGGATGGGAGGCAGGGGGGCAGTGTGCCAGGCTGAGAATGCCCCCCCACACTCATGCCCTCTCTCTGCCCCTCCAGGGCCAGCTCTGGATAAACGGCTTCAACGTGGGCCGGTACTGGCCGGCCCGGGGCCCCCAGCAGACGCTCTTCGTGCCTGGCTCGCTGCTGAGCGCCTCGGCCCCCAACAACATCACCCTGCTGGAGCTGGAGGGGGCCCCCCCCCGGCCCTTCGTGCTGTTCCTGGACCGGCCCCTGCTCAACCAGACCGTCAGCCCCCAGGCTGGGACCGAACTGCCACCTCCCTAATGCACCCCCCGGTGCCTCCTGGGCCCCACGGGCTCCCCCAGCCCAGGGCCCTGGCACAACTGGCTACAGCGCAGGTGCCTTTGGACATCCTCCCGTGCCTTGGCGATGCCCAGATCTCCTGGCCCCACTGGGCGTGGCCAGCCCAGCCAGCAGGGGCGGGGGAGTCCTGCCGGCTGAGCCGAGCCCAGGGGCTGTGGGTGCGGGCTGCCCCCACCCTCACTCACAGGGCAGGGCCAGGGCCCCTTGCAGCCGCAGAGGAGGGGGACAGCCTTGCTCCTGGTGAAGTAGCAGGTACTGGCTGGGCCAGCCCCCAGCGGGCAGAGCCTGTCCCTCTGCCAGCGGCAGAGCCCGCCTGTAGCCCCTTGGGACGGGCAGGTATCCGTCCCAGCCCCCGGCGCCCCACCGAATGGAGACACAGAGTTCACTGCCTGCAGCTTGCCCTTTATTGCCAGGTTTGGGGGGCGTTGTGGCCGCTTGCCGGGGTGGGGGGCAGAGGCAGCAATGCCAGGGGAGCCGGTTTCCTGCCTGCTGGCTCCCGCCCCCCAGGCTGGGCACTGGGGGTTACATTTTATTACCCGTTAAAGCAAAATCTTGTGCCTTCCCTGCCCTGTCCGGTGTGTTCTGTCACCCTGGCGTTGCGCCCGCCCCAGCGTGGTTCACAGCAAACCTCATGGGCCGTGAACAGCTCGGACTGACCATGGGGGGCGCCGGCTGAGCTGCCCTGAGCCAGAGCCTGGGGGCACTCAAGGGCCAGTGGGGGGCTTGCTCAGAGTCCTGGGGTCAAGGTACCGGGCACCCGTCTGCAGCATGGCTGCCAGCATGCAGGGGGTGACCAGGGCCTTGGGCACGGGGGCTATATTACTCCCCCCCCTTCGCCAGGTCCAGCAGCAAGGGCAGCTGGAGGCTGGACTGAGCTGCGGGGGCAGTGGCCCGACTCAGTCACTTCAGCTCCCCCGGGCCTGGAGCGGGCGGGGGGCCAGTGCACCCCTGGGAAAGGGGAGGACTCACGGGTGGCAGGCAGGGCCCAGGGTGCTGCAGCGAGCTCCTACCCAAAGCAATGAGCTGCTGCCCATGGGGGCGCTGTTCTGAGCCAAGCTGCCCATCATTAACCACCCCCTCCCCGGCTTGTGGGCCACCCAGCTGCCTGGCCCCAGGAGCTGGAGCCCTCAGGCGGTTCGCACAGCACAGGGCAAGGCGGCCTGGTCCCTCCTCCAGCGATCCACCAGCCACGCTGCCCCCAGCTGCAGCCTGCTCCCCCTGCCCCAACCCAGGGCCCTGCCCCTTGTGTTACTGATGCTCCCGCCCAAGGGGGGGTGCTCGTCCCCCCACCCAACCCATCCTGTGCCATGAGCCCCTTCCCCTCGAGGCGGGGGCCTGGGCAGGGGCCTGCCCCCTGGGCTGGGAAGGAGGCTGGGACTCGGGCTCAGCCCCCCGGGCGTGCCCAGCGCCTCCCCCTCTCCCCCCCCAGCAGGCGACTGTCCGTTTCCACACGTGGCAGCCCCCTGCCTTGGCCGGCCCGGCGCGGGTGCTAGGGGGGGCCCGCG